CATTGAGAGTGTACATACCCTCAACGGCCGATAGGGTTTCCCCTCTTGGCCGTCAAGAATGCGCTCTCAGCGGCGATTCTTCCCAGCCGCTGCCGTGGGGTGGGGGTTGGTTTGGTTCATCAACCCCCAAACCCTGGTTGGTTTGGGAGGATTGACTCCCAAACCAACCGGGGGCTTTTATTTATTTTTATTGAAATTTTTAGGGAGTTGACTCCCAAACTGGTCGACCGTTTTGGAAGATCGACTCCCTAATTTTTAAGGTTTTGGTGTTTGGGAGTCGACTCTCTAACTTTGGGAAGTCGATTAACCAAGCCTCTTAAGCCTCTTATGTATATAAAGACACATGAGAAAAGGCACCACAACTTTTTTGAATTGGGATAAGCTTTATGTTAAGTAGCCTAATCAGTAATCAATCAGTTTTTCAACAACGGGACCCTGTTGAACTGCTATGAAAAAATTATTGGATGTTTCTTTTGCAGATAATTTGTACACAATGATAGCAAACAAACAGGTTGTAATAATCACATACCCAAACATGCTGACGGGTTTGGGGGATCAACTCCCAAGACTTGGGGAGTCCAGGGGAAATTCCAGGGGTTTGAGGGTTTATGAGTTGACTCTCCAACTTTTGGGAGTCAATTAGCCAAGACCCAAAAAGTATTGAGTGTTTGTCATTAAATTTCACAAGAGTACATACACATGAAAGCTAGGCACAGGCCCACAGATCACATGCATGAATTCATTTTTTCCATACTACATAATAAGTATGAACTTTTAAATTTTCTATGGGATGATGAATATTTCTGCATCAGGAGTTGCAGCTCAGTGGTAATTGCTGTACTAGGATCTGATTTTGATGAGACACACAAGATTTCATATGGGTGTTACACCTAAAAACACACAGGCAAAGGGGAAAAAAATTGCAAAGAACAAATCCACTCTTGTAAATTAAGGTATTACAAGACTTATTCAGTATGCAGGTCTCTTGAGTTTAACAGTTTTATGATGGAACCAACAACAATTGATCTACTATGGAGTAGGTGGAAAGAGAAAAAAAGTATTACAGCAGGTTTTATGTTCAGAATAGTACACAATGAGGGATAGTTATGTTAAAATGTCTACGCAGAAGAATCATAACAGCAGGCATTGATGGTTGAAAAAGTGGTCTAAGGGAGTAGAAAGGTGCCGAATTGCGTGGTATAAGTCGAGGGCTCTAGTTTGCTTGCTAGTGTTTGGAGCTGTTCGCTAGCCTCACTAAACTGTGTAAGTAAATCTGAAAATAAAGTTTTGAATAGATTTTCGGGTGGATGGCTATCAAGCCCGGACGCTGAAGGCTCGTAGTAACTGGCTATGAAAGCTGAAGAGGAAAATAAATACTCAGCAGGTGTATTGATCCACCTCCTAAGTTTTCCGACGCCGTCTACTGTTTGTCCGTGCTCCTCCAATTCTTCTATCAAGGAATTCACATACACAAGAGATTTATAAAGCCGGTTCACTTGAGAGTGTAACGATAAAATTTGCCAGGAGCTCATTTGAGCACCAAATGTGATGCGTGGTTTGCTTGCTGGAGTGCTCGTTATTCTCCTGTAGAATATCCTGACTAACTTTATGATAGGAATGGTCGCTTGGCGAAGACTGAGTAGTTGTGGTTGTATAGGCCTATCCTTTTGATTGATACGCTCGGCCTGTTCTTGCAGAAAGTAGTCGAAGCGTTTTAAATTGAGCTGCCAACCTTCTTGAATGATGTCGTGGTCCGATCGTTTAGAGTATCTCATCATGCCGTCGATGATATGAAAGCATTCCTCAGTCTTGTCCACTATTTCATCTTTGTGGTGAGGCCGAGGCAAACATTCCTCGAGGCAACACTTTTCATAAGCGCGAAGCAACATGATGAGCTCGTCAGATTTGAAGCGTTGGTGCTGTCTCCCTAGGTAAGCGATTCTGAATTTCTTCAAAACGCCGTAACTACAATCTATGCGGCTAGCCTGATACAATGGATCCAACGGTGCGAGGGATTGGATGGCCATGCTAAGCAGAATGATGTTGTTCACAAGGTTATTTAGGATCTGCGAGCAGCCCCTGGAGTCAGGCTCGCCGGCGTCAATGTTCAGTGATATCAGCAAATCGGCCAATTGCTGTCGCACTTGCGGCAGGAAGCCCGTCTCAATTTGAAGCAGGACAGCTTTGTGGGCGTTCATGTCATCGGCTGACAAGACTTGTTCAGTAGAAGCGAAACCTCTACTCTCATCGTCTTTAAGGATTGACAAGGTCGCACCACGAAATGCCATAGCCAGTGCGCGTAGATCTAGATGGGAAGAATTGGATATTGAATAAATTTGGGATCAGCCAACAATACATACTCGAAGAGTTCAATGAAACTTGGCGAGCGGAATTGATGTACCGTCCAATTTAGACTCGGAGAGTGACATGGCGGTGGATCAGTTTTATTTTTCGAGCGGTAACCTCTATGTTGCAATTTGATGTATCCAGTTGTGGAATTGGCTGGGAGCTAGAATGGTAGGTAGGAGACGAACAGTGGTGTGTGACGACCAGGAAACTCCTGCTTATAAAAGCTATATGATCAAGCCAGGTAGTGGCAAGAAGAAAAAGAGCAAAAGGCAAGGCAAACCACCTGGTCAGGTCCGCATATAGAGATACATGCGTACAAACGCTAACAAAAAGAATGGTTTCGCGGAGGCCAAGACAACGATCAGTAAGGAATCAGGCTCGCCTCCTTGATGCAGTAATGGATTACGAGAGGAACACGGGCTGATTGGAGCTGGTTAACCCGGAACCGGCAATCATTATATTCACTAGCCGCACTCTCGACAAGCGACTAGGAGACTCATGAAGGATGATCTGATGGGTTGACGAGCCTTCTGGAATGCTACATAGGCGGGCTGAACCTTGCAAGGCCGGGGAGGAATATATATAGTAAAACCGTCGGCTGCAGCTGATTTATTGTTGGCCGGGCTAAAAGATTGAAGACGGCAGAGTCAGTTTGTCAGACTGGGCCGGTGCGGCATTATCATCCTGCGATGGCGCAGATGGCAAACTGACCAGAGCCAGTCCCAGTAGAGTTGAGATACCCAGAGGATGTGGCTCCGGGACTGGAATATTTTTGAAACTCCAAGCAACCGAATCAGGACATTTTCTGGCTGTCTGACAAGCTTGACCCGGCTTCCTCAGGATCCCTGAAAACTTCTGCTCGGCCAGAACATCCATGCTGATTGGTCCGGTTAAGGTAAGTTAACGGGAAAAAAACGAGCGTATCGCAACCGGTTAATTAAGACCCGGTCACACATTTGATCCGGTGAAAGCAAGACTCGTTAGATCTGACGAACCCGGAATGACTCGGGTCAGGTGGACCTTGGCCGGCCTAAAACCCCGGTCCTTTCACCGATGAGTGATCAGGGCCAGTGCGAGCTGCAAGACTTGGCTGAATGTCGCTGGCTGGCCAGTAAGGGCAACACCATGTGCGGTGATTCCTTCCTGGAGACCCTCAGGCCCGGCACCTTGCAGGGATTGGACGACGGGTGAGATACTTTAGCGTTATGCATCTCAGTCATCATCGGTCATCGAAAGAAACACGCCCCCATTCACCTCCAACGGCCAGCTCGGTGGTTGAAGGCGAGTTGGCCGGCAGGCCTTGACCTCCACCCACCAACACAGGGTGGTAGAAGCTTTTTCATTCATCCGTTAATCGACGGTAAATCAGCTGCAGTGACCTCCAAGAACTTTTTTGTTTACATATTTAGATACACCCAAAGGGAATATAAATATCTGATCAAGGACAAGAGCGTTTTTTATGGGAAGCCGGCGGAAATAGTACAGAAACAAAGCTTGGTTGCTTGAAGGTCGTCTGAGTAAATATGTAACCGACCACACCCATCAGCAGCGATGTGGTTAAATACGCATCTCACAGTGGGCCGGACACCGCATCCTCTCTTGTCTCTCGCATTCAATTTCCAGTGTCCACAGCTGACTGACACCTTAACCCAAAACCAAGCAGACAAAAATACTGGCCAACACCGAAGGATGAGTCCCAATGCTGATAGTAATACCAGAGCCCAGCCGACATACTTGATTGGAACGATCGGTATGTTGATGAGCGACGAGCCAAACTCGTGTGTTGAGATTCACTTGGAGAAACGATTGATCCAAGGAGAAGATGAAAAGGAAGGTTGGAGGAAGCACCGACAATGGACCGTGGCCGATATACAGGGTGCGGCTCGCTTGAACCAGCAGCCAGTCCATCTAATCATCAGATTCCGCGGAACTTGGTCACAGGAAATCGCCCAAGACCTCAAGAGGAGTCTGGAGGCAAAGCTCTATGTGGACACTTAGAGCATCGCCAACGGTCCTGCTGATGCGGGACTCAGGTGGCAAGTGGGGCCGGGTCAACCCGGGGCCAACCCGAGACCCGAGGGGTTATGAGGCGGGTTCGGGCAGGAGTTTGGGAAATGTTGACCTGACCCGGACCGACCCGGCTTGTTCTCAGGTCGGGTTCGGGCAGGTGCTGCAGACTTCGGGTCAGCCTCGGGTAGACCCGAAAACCCGACTAGGTAGCAGGGGGCCAAGAGTTAGGACACAGGGCAGAGTCCAGATCCGAGACAACTATCCTCCTGAGTCCTGACCCCATTCCTTGCACCAACCACAACTCCAATTATCAAGTATGGCCAACACAAGTTCAAAATCCAAGCGCAAACGGCCAAAAACTGTCCCAGATTCCGATGAGACCTCATCTGCGACCTCAAGCAACAAAGCGGAAGTTGTAGTTGACCACACCAAAACCAATAGCTCTAGTACTCCGAGTCAGCCGGAAATCTCAGCCAGCCAGACTACGGTAGCAGCATCCCAGAATGTTGATAAATCTAATTTGACGGATTCAGCGACCTCAAGTACCGAACGCCAGCAACGTAGCGATGTCTGGAACCATTTCACAAAAAGTGGCACCGGTGAGTTGATTTTTTATGATCTCAATCTCTTCTTGGTGCAACATTTAAAGATCTTAGGCTGATTAAGATTTGCATCTTTATATTCTCAGGTGAGGGCACAAAGGCCACATGCAAGCATTGTAAGAAGATCTTGAACGGCCAGAGCTCGCAAGGAACGAAGTCCCTCTGGCGACACATTGATCGTTGCAAGGAATACGCATCAAAATCAAAGCAATCATTGCTCAAGTTTGGAGGACCAAACAGTGCCTTATCGAACTGGGTTTTTTCTCAGCAGACCTCTCGCGAGCTTTTGGTCAAGATGGTTATTGCCCACGAACTCCCTTTCCGATTTGCCGATTATCCAATCTTCCGTGCATTTGTAGCCTCACTTCAACCCAAATTCAAACCCTTCTCACGTACTACCCTGAAGTCCGACATCATGGCTACATTCAAGCTGATCAAGATCAAGCTGGCCAACGAGCTAGCTAGTGTTGATCGGGTCTCACTTACTACAGATCTCTGGACTTCTTCCAATCAGTCTCCTTTCATGGTTGTATCGGCCCACTATGTAACCTCCGACTGGAAACTCAAAAAGCGGCTCATATCGTTCAAAGAACTTCCAACTCCTCACACTGGAAAGGCCATTGGCGAACAACTAATTGCGACAATTGTTGAATGGAAGCTAGTCGACAAGATCTCATTTATCACAGTCGATAATGCTTCATCCAACGATCTTGCGATTGATAGAGTGCGTTCAGTCCTCAAAGAACAAAGTCAGTCCCCTCCCGTGCTCAATGGAGATTTTTTCCATGTTCGGTGTGCGGCACATATCATCAATCTTGTTGTCAAGGATGGACTCAAGGGGGTTACTCAATCAATCGTCAAGATCCGTGATAGCATCCGTTACTCAAAAAGCTCACCCTCGCGCAAGCAGGAGTTCAAGGACGCAATCAGATCATCCCACATGAAGAAGCAGGTGTTACCTTTGGTCGATGTTCCTACTCGATGGAACTCCACCTATCAAATGCTCAAGTCAGCATTGCCCTACAAAGATGCCTTCACCAACCTGGCCATGCAAGATGCTAATTACACCACCTGCCCAACATCAGAAGAGTGGGATGAAATATTCACCATGCAAGAATTTCTTTCGGTTTTCCACAAAGGTAAGACATTTTTCAATTGAAACCTAATTATCTGTTTTTTTCGTTACCTAAAATCCTCTATTTTTTATTCTAGCAACGCTAAAACTGGGTATGACCCAATATCCAACGGTGTACTCAATTTATAAGTACATGAAGCTCATTGATAAACAACTCAAAGATGTTGTCAAAGCTGGACCACCTCACATCGCCAGTATAATTAAGCCAATGCAGGATAAGTACGACAAGTACTGGACTAAAATGGAGGATTTTGCAGAAATCACTGCCGTCTTCGACCCCTGATGCAAATTGGCCCTCATCGAGTTCATTTTGCTCAAGGAAACTACCCCCAAAGCCGCCGAGGAAAGTTTAAATTGAATCAAAAAGAATCTTGCCGCCTTCTTCTCCGATTTTGTCCGTGTACTTCCCACCAATCCCCACAAATCCAACGAGTCAATTAAAAAAAAAACAGTACAAAAAGTTGAAACTAGCGATAATGACTTCAACATGTTCCTTGCCTCTAAGAACGCCAACCAAACTGTCACCACTACTGGTGAGCTGGACTTATATCTTCAAGAGAAAGCTGTCGGTATTGGATCAGACGGGTTTGACATCCTCAAGTGGTGGGAAGTACATGAAGAAAGATTCCCAACACTTGCCAAGCTGGCAAGGATGGTGCTTATGGTTCCAGCAACATCAATTGCTTCTGAATCAGCCTTCTCAACTAGCGGACGGGTTCTTGGCGATTTCCGAAGCCGAATGTCTCCGATAACGCTTGAGGCCCTCGTATGTGGACAGGACTGGATTCGTACCGAGGAAGGCCTTCAAAAGTGGGACGAGGACGAGGAGGAAGAGGATGCCAATGATATTGAAGTTGTGGAATGAATATGTTTTTTTTTCATTTTTTTCTTGCATCTCTCTGCTAAAGCCTAAAACTACATACACGAGTACATACACAAGTTTGACTGAGTAAGATAAAGTAGCAATGAAACCAACTTGAGGGTTGGCTCTGCAATTACACATTTGAACTTTATTTGTGATTAGTGTAGTTGTCAAGGGGCCAGTTTGGTGCCTGGCAAGATGTCAAGGGGCCAGTTTGGTGCCTGGCATCGCTGCATCATGTCCCTCCTGCGTTCAAATCCCCTTGATATCTAATTGTCAAATAAAAAAAGACACCCTGCCGGGTCGACCCGAGCCCCGACCCGATTCAGTTTTAACAGAGTCGGGTTTGGGCAGCATTTTTTACAATGCAACCCGACCCGCCCCGACCCACATTGCTTACTGGGTCGGGTTTGGGCACTGTTTTTTGACCCGAACCCGACCCGTTTGCCACCTGATGCGGGACCTGGGACCGACTTCAGCGGCCCGCGAGCCTTTTTTGGCCTCTAGCGGCGCTGCTGAGCAAGCTGCTGATGGTCGCGGGGGTGGATCAGAGCTGCCCTTGGCTGCTACTTTTGGCAGCTTTGGCAGCTCTCCCTCCGAGCTGCTACAACCACCTCTCAGTCGGCTCGTCGTCCGATTTCCCTTTTTTTCATACATATATTGATATTAACACCACCACCACCACCACATATCTCCTATATCCATGCCTCCCAAAACTGGGGTAGTCGATCCTCTCCTGGCATCAATGACTCCCAACACACCAACTCCGACAACCCGTACGATGCCGATAACTCAACCGGATTTGAATCCAACCGATCCAAATGCAACCCCCAGAGCCTCGGCGACTGAACCAGCTCCTTCAGACGAAGTTGTCCTCAAATTCAGATCCGGCCTCGTCCTCAATTGTCATATTATGTAGAATAATAACTGTTTTCATAATGAAGCACAGGTCCGAGTGGTTCCATAGTCGCCCAGGGAACCGAATAATTGCATACCGAGCTTGTAATACCCCAAACGCACGCTCAACGTCCTTGCGATATGCTTCCTGCATCTTCGCATAGTGTCGGGTTTTTTTTTCCCTGTGGGTCCGGGATTGTTTGCATCAGGGTTGCATATTTGGGATAAATCCCATTGGTTAGATTATAGATAGTACCCCAGTGTGTATCGATTTCCGTTTACAAAGTATTGAAAAGAAGGGTTGATTCCATCCTGACATTGCTCAAAAACCGGGGATCGATCGAGTACGTTGATGTCGTTCAGAGTACCAGGGAGACCGAAAAAAGCGTGCCAGATCCAGAGGTTGTGTGCTGCAACGGCTTCAAGGATAACAGTTGGCTCCTTTTCCTTGCCGCTATATTGGCCGTGGTCTGCAACGGGGCAATTCTTCCAACCCCAATGCATACAGTCCAATGAGCCCATCATACCCGGAAAGCCTCGCTCCTCCGAGACAGCGAGTATCTTGACAAGATCGTCTTCATTCGGGCTTTGTAAGTATTCTTCTGCATAGATGTTAACCACTGCCAAGCAGAATCGCTTGAGACTTTCCAGTGCGGTGCTTTCACCTTCAATTTGAGAGAGAATTATCAGCAGTGAGAAGAACAAAATTGGGAGTTAGTTAAACTGAAACACTTACTGATTCGAAGGTATTCATCAATTGAATCAGCACTACAACCATATGCCAACAATCTGAAAGCGGATGTGACCTTTTGTAATGGTGAAAAGCCCAACCGACCAGCCGCATCCCTTTTTTGAACAAAATAATCGTCCTCCTGAACAACGGCCTCGACAATCTTGAGGAAAAGTGATCGTCGCATCCTGAAGCGCCGACAAAATAGGTGGTCTGGGTAGGTTGGGTTTTCTGAAAAATAATCGCTGTACAGCTGCTGATGACCTAGAAGACGGTTTCGATAGATTTCTCTTCGCCCAAATGTCGATCCACCACGCTTCGGAGGCTCCTTATTCCTTCTTCTGATGATTAGTGAGATTGTAGTTTGAAGTGATGCGAGTATGTCGCCGTCGTCTTCAACCCATTCCATGATTTCCAATGGATCCATCGGGTTTCGTTGTGTTTTGGTGGGTGGTTGTGTTGAAAATAATATTGACTTGATCAATGGAAATCTTCATCCACCCCTGCCCGGATCGACAGTCCATATTTTGCCTTACTGTGACATATCGGTGACAGTTTGGGACATCTGCTTCCGGGCTGCTGAAGGCGAGCCAACTCACCCCCAGACCGTTGGCGATGCTCTAAATAGGTTCTCCTATTTCCAGCAATCCGTCTGGGCGATCACCCCGAAGCTTGACCTACAGAGTCAGAGTTCGCAGCGAGATGAGGTGCCTTGTGGTTGGGTTGAAAGGGGTTACCATTTTCCGGCCTTGCATATTGTCAGGTTCTAATTGAATATCCAAAAAACTGGGCCAGCCACCGGGAATTAACCCAGAATGAGCACATAGACCCATCGTCAATAGGAACTCGTCTATCGTATATAAACCTGAAAAACATGTAAGCATACGTTTCTTGTTTCTCCATCTCCCCCATCTCGGATGCTGAATCGAGATCTTGTACTCCCCGAGCAGCAGAACTACGCTTTACCTCACTCGAAAGGTTAATAACTGATGGCGCCAATTGACTTGTTTGAGGATGTGGAGGAAGAAAAACAATGTCGCTCTGGTGAAAGGCAGCAATCCAACAGAAAGAATGACTCGGATGCTTTCCACTACAACGAGGCATACGCTCAAAAATTCGAACGCCAAAAACGGGGCGAAGAATTAATGAAACGTTAGTTTGGTTTTTGTTTTGCTAGCCTGCAAATGCAAGAAAGAATAAAAAATTTTAATGTTTCAAAAAAAAACTATGCTCTTCATCTACATGTAGTGAAAGATAAATACGGTTCTGATTACGAGCCGTCGGAGAGCGAGGAGGACTTTTCTTCTGAAGATTCGGATGCAGAATTCATCACACCAGAGGTCGATGTGGCGATCTTGAAAACACTTGCTCGTATCAAGAAAGAAGATCCCAAGTTATACGAGCAGGATGGAAACGTCTTTGAAGGTTCTTTTGTATATCCCTCGCCCTAATCACTCCACTTTGTCCATATATGTCGAAACTATCTAACATTCGAGTTTGCTTTACTTGCTCTTTTTTGACAGAGGAAGAAGCTCAGAACGCGGCCGCCCGAGCTCAGAAGCTCAAGCGTGACAAAACCGAATCGACAAATCGAAAAAAACCTATGAATTTGAGAGACTATCATCGCAAAGCACTTCTAACTAACGAAGGACGGGAGTTCGATGAAGATGAACCGTTGCCTGAAAATTACGAACCTACACCAGCAGAAGAAGCCGAAGCCTTGAGGGACGAAACTAAGCGAGCTTTTCATAGTCTAGTTGATGATGACAACCATGATGACAATGAATCTACTAAAAGTTCAGACGGTATACAGGACATGCTTGTGCTCAGAGACAAAGAAGTTGAAGAAATTGAAGAGGAAGATCAAGAATATCAACGGTTTTTAATCGAGCAAGTTGGTAACGATGACATTCAAACGGCTCTCCAATTAAACTTTGGGACTAGCAACGATGCTTCCGAGCAAACCGAAGAAAAACGAAAAGTACGACACGATGATGATGAATTTTTGCGAGCCTACGTCCTAGGCCGTGGATGGATCGATAAGGAAGCCAAGAAAATTCCGAAATACAAAGAGCTAGTCGAAGCTGGTGGCCAGTCCAAGCAAGCCAAGTCTAATCTATCGGGAAGCAATGCTAACGTCTTGGGCAAAACTGCGATCTGTGATGAATATGACGAGGAAGATGAAGAGTTTGTCGAAAAAGCGGAAGAGTTCGAGACAAATTACAACTTTCGATTCGAAGAGCAAGTTCGAAAGCTTATCTTTTTTTTTTTTCCTTCTTCAGAAAAATACCCTCGAGATATAGCTCAACTTACAAAATGAATTTCTTACATAGTCCCAATCCTACAGTCACGACACATGCTCGAGACACAGGTCCTTCGGCTAGACGTAAAGATGATAGCCGAAAACTTGGGCGAGACGCGGTGAAAGCTAGGAAAGATGAAGAAAAGCGACAGCGTATGGAAGAACTCGAACGAATGAAAGCACTCAAAAAGGATGAGGTGTTGAAGAAACTTGAGATTATCCGAAAAAACGCTGGCGCTGAGGGTTAGCAGCCTCTGATTTGATGTTTTGCGTGACGTTTCGGAACATAACAGGACTGACATGTTACTTCATCGATATTCTAGATTGTAACCTCGACGACATAGATTTGGATAGTGACTTCGACCCTGAAAGTCATGATCGCCGAATGCAACAGGTGTTCGATAACGATTTTTATGGCAAAACTGTGGGTTGACTTTGAGCCTTGCCCTGAAACTCGATGTTGATTTGGGTTTTTCTACAATCAGGACCCGGACGGAAAACCAGTCTGGGACGATGATATTGAAATCGACGACATCCTTCCAGACGCAGCTCCCGTGCAAGAAGAAATCAACTTTGAACCCGGTGGTGACGCCTATGATCCCTTGGCACCTGGGGGGAAAAAGCTATCCAAGAAGATGAAACGGTTGGCAAAAGCTGAGAAGAAACGTGGTGTTGTCCAAAATATGGAGCCAGAGAAAGAAGAAGAAGGCCCCGACCACACCGAGGAAGTTGATGACCTGGAAGGACTTTCTCCCGAGGAGCGCAAGAGAAAGTTGCTGGAAGCCTTGGATGAGTATCATAAGTTAGATTGCGAGGACATGGTATGCCGCAACCGTTATTCTATTTTGACCCTTAGGTTGATGACTGACACCATCAATTTGTATGAATGCTCGAAACAAGATTGGAGACATGCCGACCAGGTTCCACTACACTAAGACGGAGGCTACGGATTGGATGACACCCGAACAAATCCTTATGGCGACAGACGCCGAACTGAATCAAGTGATTGGATTAAAGAAATTGGCACCCTATCGATCCACAGACAGCGATCGAAAATTAGCTACCAGGAAAAAGAAACTTAAAGAACTACGCAAAAAGCTCAAGACAAGGAAATGGGGTGAAGCCCATAGTAACAATGATAATCCGCAAGCGTCCACTTCTCAACCTGTCACGCATGATCAAAACGAATCTCAACAACCTCCTACTAAGAAGCGTAAGGGCAAAAAAGAGAGACAGAAACTCAAGGAAGAACAAACCGCTTCAAACCAAGTCGCCGATTCTTAGAAACCCTCTCAACTCGCTTTAGTGTTTCTCATCACATTGAAGAGCCAGATTTTTCTTTTGAAGACGAAGTTTTGCATGCTTAGGTCTGGAGAAATTTGAAAATATGGATCTCATTGTTTTTCTTCTTGGCTCCAGTCTATGTAAAATTACAGAATGATTATGACCTCATCTCAAATTTAGACAGACCATTCAATCGTCATATAATTTTTGCATTACTTCTATTTTTTTTATCTACGACTGATTGATGTGTTCTGCGGAAGGCTACCCATTACTCTATTTATTATAAATCATACCAGTGAGACAATTAATGCAATATGCATAACAAGTGAATATTTTTTCATCTTCCTACCTAGAATTTGTACGTTTATTAAAGCAACCACTTGAGACTGAGTGCTGCCCAAAAACGGGTATTATGGAAGCTACCCAGCCTTCTTGTCAACGTAGCCTTGCGATGGTGTTGCCCTGCCCTTCTCTCTTGTGCAAGAACATTATAAGCACATTTAGAGCCGGAGCAGATGATGTGAATTAGTCGCATGTACTTCATGTATGTACGATTGACCCACCAGAGTTCACGGCACAACTCGTTCAGTAGTTGCCAAGGCTTTGTTGTCTTACAGGGGGGAGGGAGCTAAATTTTGTTTCACGAGTTGGGATACAAGGTTTTTGAAAATAAACCCATCCAGTTATCAACTTCGATTGAAATTGTATAATATGAGCTTAGGCCTCATGGGGCACACGTATGAAGTACCACGACTCCGCAAAGGCTGTAGGTATGCTCAACTGGATGGCATCGATCAAGAATGAACGTTGGTGGTGCATACGAGCCCATAGCCACGGCTGGGGTCATCTGACACGTATCGAGTCTCGGCGTCCGGGGAGATTATGAATGCGTTGGTGATTGTCATGAGCAAGGCAAAGGTTGGCAAGGTGCAAACATTCGACGAAGCAACACAGAGCCCATAACGGAATGACAAGCAGAGGAAGAGCCCCGGTCTCCATTTCCGATAGGCTACCAATCGTAGCTCCATCTATTACCCTTAGCGATCTCAACTGCAGTAGTGCTGCTGGTTGAGATGATGTAAATGTATTGGTAGCTTGTAGTAAAGATGGCCTATTCAAACCTCGGTATCTGCAAGTTTTAAGGCTTTCCTTTCCTTGCTACATAATGACCCAATATTTCAAGCTTACACTCCGATCCCCACTTGGCCATTTTCCTTAATCTTTATCATTTCCATCAGTCTTCAGGTATCACGACACTGTGCCTTCATCAACATGATTTGTTAGGCAAGCCTTCCCTCGGTGCACGCCAAACTCCAAAAAGTCAACGAACGTTACGCTTTTCGTCTGATTAGCGAAGACCGTTTGCTGAACGTTCCTTTGCCCCCCCCCCCCCCCCAACCCCCCTTTCATCTTTTTGGAAAATTGGAGTGTCACTGGCTGAGACTTCATTGCGGTGGCTCACATACCGCCGTCCCGACTCAACTTATTTTTAACACATCACAGATTTGGAAAAATGCCCATTCGACTTTTGTTTCTTCTTCTTTTTCTTCCTTCTACCTTCTTATCTTCCCTGAAAGTTTGTCACGTAGATGCATTGGCTTTGTATGAGCCACATAACCTAGGATGGGCTGGCCACATGTTCCAGAGCTCCTCGCAACGCGCTGCTTTCCTCACTTTCCTTTCCGATAACAGTAACACCGGTCCTGAGTTGACAAAAGGTAGTCCGATATCTTTCTTTTCAGAGCTTATAAGAATCTGACTTAGGCAAGTGTGCACTTTCTTCAGAAGACTTCTCGGCATTATCCATCCTGTGGGACGCCCTGAGACGAACAACAATCGAAGACAAACAAACAAAATCCGTTTCGCAGCGTATCCTCTCGCCTACATCACATCCCTTGAATAAAATCCAAGAAGCTTGTGAGTAGATAGCTTCTCTCATATTGACCAGCTATTCAAACAGGATTTTTGATTCACACATTTCGTATTTCTAGCAATTCGACTCAAGAGAAGGCAGATTGCCACAAACGCGGCTGGTACTCTCCGGGAAGCCCCCCCACTTAATAACCTTCTGGAAGTCTCACCAGAAAGATTTATCTCAGACTCGCCTGGTACAGACCCACCCGACTCCGGCTTGCCAGCACCGGCTACTTCGTCAAGCAAAGTTGACAGCTCAACTGGCAAATCAGCCACTCCAGGACCCGCGAAGGCCCCACAGAAATCCCCGGGCCAAAAGGCCTCGCAATCAACAGAACTGCTCGATCCAGGACTCAAAGGACTCATAATCATCGGCATAGTTGCATCCTTAATGGGCCTTTACCTATTTTTCCGAAAAAGGTTTGTTAGCGAACCCGAAGCCCAGATATCGACAACATCTTCTGAAAAAGGAGGGCTCGAGGGACCCCCCATCGCAGCCGACTACGCAGGAGGTATCAACATAACGGGGCCAATTGGCCACAATTACACTACTGAGCTCAGTCAGGAAATGAGGCCAGGGTATCAAAACTACAAGCAGGTCGGTAAAAGCTACAAGGACATTCCATGAGTACATTCTACCGCGATACTGAAGTCAATTTGCTATCCATGACAAGTTCGGTGGTGTTGGAAATAATAGAGCTCAAGTGAAGCGACCTTCGGTGAGATCTCAGCCTACCTCTGGGAAGGCAATAGCCTTGCCCTCGAGCGCCAAAGTGACAAAGCAGAGAACAAGAATGCCGAGTTCAGATCAAGGAAGAGAAGGACAAGCAAAGGGTTCCAATCGAAAGCCCCAGGGCCGAGGGTGACTGCAAAACCTAAGCTTGAGCTCGGAAAGGATCATTAACAGGCAAGTGCTGGTGTTGTTTTGAAGCTCGAGTAATTTGTCTTCTCAGGTGGTAAAATCAATTAACCCCTAATTTGATTTTGAATCTTGATCTTCTTTCAAAATTCGATAGAATCAGAGGCCCACTTTGCCATTTAATCTTTGTACATCATGTAAAAATAGATATCAATCTCCCTTGAGATATTTGAAGGACTTCTTGTTGGTCTGGAATTGTTCATTTAGCCTTTCTAAAGCTAAATTTCAAATCTTCTTTGTTGATGAGAAGTTAGAACTCAATGTTGCTTGCATTCTTGTCAGCCAACTAGGTTTGAAATTAAGATTAGACTGGATAGATCTAGTGTTCCAGATTGACAGGAAGTCCTTTGTTGAGTTTTTTCTCTTGTAAGTCAATCCTAAAGTAAAACTGTTTACATTAGTGAGCATTGAATTTGTATCTTTTTTTTATCAACTCTTCCAGTCCTTTCAGATACTGAGTGAATGCACTTGTTGAAAATATCTTGCATACTCACAATTCAGATGGTTATTTGAGCCAGCATAATTAACTCTTAGAATCAGGCATCTGAATTGTGATACATTTTGCTGAAATTTCCATTTTTATATTCTTATGTGAAACTTATTGATTGTACACTTCTGTCTTTTTTATTTCTTGATTCAATTGTTAAGCCTTTCTTAATTTCTCTTAAAAAATTATCTAATTTCTTTTGACTTGATACCTCGACCATACTTGCTCATGTAAATCAAAGTGTTCTCAGGACCTTTTTATTATATATTCAAACTTGTAAATGTCCAACCATATACAAAAACACATTGAAACCACACAGATTTTATAAATGGCTATGATGCAAATGTTAAGCCTGGTCTCAGTGGTCCACCAGATTTCCAATCCCATGGAATCTCAAATGTCACTAAAACTCAAACAAGTACTGATGTAGGGCAGAACTTCAAGCAACAATGGGCCCACTACGCTAGCGGTAGCATTAGCATAGCGTATTGTAGCAGAATTCTGCTAATGCTTAGCGTAGCGCAGCGGAATTCCGCCACGACTGCGCTAAGGCTACATGTGTGGGCCCAAAAAAAGGGCCCACTGCGCTGCGCTACAGCACATTTTAGTGGTTTCTGGGCTCTTTTTGCCACTAAAAGCACTGTAGAGTAGCATAACATAGTGTAGTGGCGCTAACAATGTGCTAACACTACAGGTTTGGCGTGCTGTTTTGAGGGCCGCTACGCTAACGTTAGTGGGCTGTTTAGCGTAGTGTAGTGTGGCGGCCCATTGTTGGTTCAAGTATAGTCTATGGGTTTGCTCCTGAAATAGGTGGGACTTTCAACACAATTCCCTTCATAGATTATCTGTCAAATTTTCAACTTAAAGAGGTGATAGGTCAGAGGTATTGCATATAGCAGATCCACTGCAACTGCCATCTATCAAAGTAGCTAACTCAAGAGTTCAACCAATGCTGGGCTGCTACACTATGTTACACTAAACAGACCACTAACATTAGCATAGCGGCCCTCAGAACAGCGCACCAAACCTGTAGTGTTAGCGCGCTGTTAGTGCCACTACGCTACACTATGCTGCGCTGCAGCACTTCTAGCGGCAAAAATGGCCCAAAAATTGCTAAAATGCGCTGTAGCGCAGCATAGTGGGCCCTTTTTTGTCGCCCACACGCGTAGCATTAGCACAGATTTCTGTATCTGCGCTAACACTATGCTACAATGTAGTGTATTTGCACTACACTACACTAGACTAACGCTACCGTTAGCGTAGCTGGCCCAGCATTGGTTCAACACAACACTGCTCAAGCCACAGGTTGTTTGAAAGGTCTACTGTCGTTATCCCAACTGAAAAGATTTCAAAGCAACCCCTTTTCAAGGACAGTGCTTGCACCAGGACAACTTGGCAAATAGTTTTTTGCAGGGTTCCAATTTTTTAGATTTTGGTGTAACCATGGGATTTTGTATAATTGTTTGAGACATGCTAATAAAAAAAAGGGAAATCAGATGATAAGCAAATATTTCATCAGCCACTCCTCTCCTAAGCCTTCCAGTGTCAAGATGTGCAATGACAAACTGGAAGCGGTTCTTTCGGCCCTCAAGATGACCTTGCCATCCTGTCTTAGTATTATTCCAAGATGTCAGCACCAAGCAACTGAGGCATGTTGAGCTATCTATGTAGTGTAGTTTACATAGTGCTACTATTTCGTGCTTCTTTCTCTTTTTCATTTCTCACATGTCACACCTTGTGACATTCTTTCTGTTTTCATTTCTCTCTTATACTGGAGTCAACTGAGTTGGAAAGGATCTCTTTTTCTTCATCCTTTCCAACCTCATTGGCTCCAGGTTAGTTATCCTGTTTTCTCTTCTCTCTCTTTCTCTTAGTGAAATGACACATAATCCTGTCCAACCTCATTGTCTCCAGGGTGTTCATTCCAACAAGGCACTCATATTTATTGCCAGTGGTGTCTCTCAACAGTGGCTGCACAATTTGGGACTGCTCATGGCTAGCTATCATGAGTTGTATGATAATTGGAATTTCACCAGAAATAATCTAATGTAGGTATATACTAAGTGGAAAAAAAACTGTCTACTTTTTCAAAGCAAATTACTGTTTTACATGCAAAATATTATTTCACTTGCCTCAGCTTGCGAATTACTGTAAGAATCAAGAGACTGGCTAGAAACAAGAAATATCCAAACAAGATGATGACATTCCTGTGAGATTGTTGTGGGATGAACAAAAAACAATCAGATTAGTTGAAGTTGATCAACTGGAAAAAGATTCAGTAAACACCACTTGCCTCCAATACGCATCCTCTTCAAATCCAAACAGCAAACCCATAATCATGCTGGCGGACACTCTGACATTTATGCCCTGAAGGTTATCCTGAAAAGGTGATTTTATGATGCAATTGTTAGCACATTCTTCCACAATGAACCAGCCCATCTTTCCGGGACGGCTTGTATTTATCTGCGTAGTAGATGATTGCGGGACTCACATTAATCATTAAGCCTGCCGAAACTTCATTAACAGACATCGCCTCTAGTGCGAATTTAAGGGGTATAACGTATTGGACCCACCGCAGCACCTTTGTCATACTGGTCAAGTTGACGAAAAATCCAGCAAAGCCTAATTGAAGCAAGTTGGCCATGCTAGCTAAAAAGACGGCCGTGCCTAGGTTGCGAATGCTGGCCCCGAGCCACATGCAGAACATCGTTTGGACCAGACCGAGTTCGAGTAAGACCAAAAGGTATTTGACGAAATGTGTCCCATCATTCGTCAGGCCTACCATCCAATAGATGATTGTTCCCATCGTTAACATCGGCAAAACTCTCAATGGAATCACATCAAAGCAAGCCCGGACTATCAGCCATGCCGTCGGGGAATAAAACCCGGCCGCCCGTTCCCGCATGAATAATACCCTCACCCGGTAAAAATTTGTCAACGCTGATAAAGAGCTGAAGACGAATACAGCGCAGGTGAAAAACATAGACCCAACGCGATTCTTGAACGGTAACGCCAAATAAGTTTTCAAGTCAGTTTGAATGGCCTAGCATGATAAGATCAACTATGGGCATACGCACTTGAAAGCCAGAGATTTTCAGGTTTACTTGGAAAAACATCGCACCGACGAAAACCCCAATAATTACTGATAATATGTTCAAGAACCAAAACAAGCTCGGATCCCTCTTCAAACATAGCCATTCCCTGCGGGAAATGACTTGTAGCTGAGTGATCATTGTAGCAATAGGCTCGCCGAATTTTCCCACCACGTTTTTAGGAGCGGGTGGTGGAAACTGTGAGGATGCTTCGTCCTTCGTGATTTCAGACTTGACCTGGTCTGCTTCCATGCAATGCTCTAGAAACCCAACCGGCGGCTCTGACGCTACCTCTAGCAAAACTAAATTCAGAGCTCCAGATGATCAGTTTTATGGTCAGACATGCCAAATAAATCATATGTGGTAGTGGCGTACAGTCGGCAGGATTGTATTCAGCAGGGCATTTTAGTCCCCGGGATCCCAGATAACTCACGGCATCGGACGTGGGCCCACAGTATATTTGACGACCACCGAGTGCAAGCAGACAGACGTGATCAAAGGCATGCTGGAATTGATTTGAATTCATTATATTTTGTGATTCAGTCATGGGTTGTCAATTATTCCGAGAATAATCATGAAGCTTACATATATTTGAGAATTTGGTTGGTGAATACTGCAAATTATTGTTGTGCCGTGTCCATTGGTAGCTCCAGCTGATAATCCCTTAAGAACCTTGACGACCCGCAGAGCAGAAACCGAGTCTAATCCACTGTGAATATGATCATATAGGGCCGAGTAAGGCAATTTTGTTGAATATGGGTAAACTCATCCGCGAACAGGACACCGCAGATCACTGGCCAAACACTTACGAAGTAGGCTCATCCAGGAACAAGACGGAGGGTCGAGCGATGAGCTCAAGACCAATGCTCAAGCGCCGACGTTCGCCGCCCGATAAGCCTCGTTTCTCATCGTCCCCGATGCGCGAATCAACGACGTTGGAAAGCCCGAGCAGATCAACCACTTCAGATACCCGGCGGCTTCGCTCGTCGGAGGACACATGCTCGGGCAGTTTCAACCGAGCCGAAAACATCAGCGCTTCGCGGACCGTACTGGTGGGTGGAAGTATGTCGGATTGGTCCACGAATCCAATGACTATGGGCTCATCAGGTTCGCTGGCTAGAAATATATTCCGTCGTCCAGAAATTTTGCCTGCTTTTTGTTGTCCGGCCAGTACATCCAAAAACGTACTAGATAAAATCAATAATTCAAATTTTATGAATTAATGGGAACTTTCTGAGCAGCAGTTCCAAGCTGCAGAACACAATTTGTACAACATCCGACTCACCTTTTACCAGCACCAGAGGGTCCTAATATTGCCATCATTGTACCAGCGCCCACAGAGCCACTCAAGCCGCAGAGTATTTGGGGTCCATAAGAAAGAGTGTTTGGTGGGAGGGAACAGCTCGAAGACGCGGTGATGGACTTGGTGGCTTCCATATCAGCAGGACGCGGTGCTGCTTGAACCCTACGTCTGCGAAGTAGTGAACTGGCGCCGGACTTCAAGGGAAGATAATATCTCAAGTTGCTCCATTCGACCTGAGCGGCAGCTGATGTCGATAGGGATGAACTTCCTACAGTTTTCCTAGCACAACGTTGTCGGTAGAAACCAAAACCGATGATCCCGAAGAAAGCGGCGATGATGAGCGCCACAACCGCCAGTCCGGCAATCAGCCCGCTACTGATCGACGACTTGCCTCCGTCGAGCAGTTCTTTCCGCTTGGACGCAGCCAGTCTCTTTTGAACACATTCTCCGAATTGACAGTCGGTAAGACTGAAACCCTGGGGACCAAAGATGTTCTTCAGAAGTCCCATTTTGATGTGACATGGTGCTGCCGGACCTGATGTGGTAGAATTATCACCCAAAGGACAGTCCATTCCGACATCACCGGAAATCGTATTGATTGTAGTCGAGAGATCAATCGCCCCTCCCCCACACAGAAAGCTGCCAGGGCTACATTTGCATTTTAGAGATTGACATGTCATGCTGTAAATTCCATTGCTGACTTGCTGTGTACAATTGTTGGCTTCGCATGAAAATTGATCTTGCAAGGGTGCAGTAGTATTCGGTGCGTATAAGAGTTGCACAGTAGTCCATCCGGCCGAAAGTCCAGCGATGCTCGAGGTAGGTAATGAGGCTGACGTGGGATCGGGGTAGCGCTGAATGGAGGCCTGAAGCTTACCGGGAAGGAATGATTTAATCATGGGATTCTGAAAGGCGACAAATCAAGACCTTGCGTGAGTGACCCATCCCTAAGAAGCAAGAGCAGTTGTAAAAAAAACACTCTACATCAATTGAACATTCGCCAAAACTAGCGGTAAATGCGATGGGCTCCTTGCTGCAAATTACGTCCCCAGTCGCAGCGGAGCTCAAGCCGAACGGAGTCCCGGAGCCGGAGGATGAAGCGGCTGTAATTCCTTTTTGACACGCATCGGTATTTTGGCAGACTGTCCGAGGAAGCATTTGTTGATCAACAAAAAAGAACATGCCATTGCTTTTTTCTTGGCGACCGGCCAGCACTCAAGATGAACTAAAAAGAACTGACTGTTACAGCTAGACCCAGCGAATCCGGGGGTGCACTGGTCGCCGCAACCCAAGCTTCCAGATGCCCCTGCTAGAGTAGGGTCGAAGGGAGCTCTGGAGGTTGAATTCTGGTAAGCTGGCGGTAGACATTGAGTCGTAATAGGAGAGCGGATGAATCAGAGGGTGAGATGTTTTTTTTTGTCAGCATGCTTGCTGTCTTGCCACAGAGATACACGAATTTGCGCAAAGATTGTACTAACGACTACCGCAAGCCAGTCGGTTGCAATCGGGAGCGTTGGTTAGGCCAGGATAACAGATACATCCAGGAGAAGGTGGCGAGCTGCCGGAGCACAGGCTTTGAGCTTCGGAGGATGAGATGAGGGTGATGAGCAGGATGGCGATGCCTGCTCTGCAACGGGTGGTACGAAGTTCTTTAGCGCACTGCATCATGGATGGCCGAAAGTGGGACTGTAGGAACCGTACGAGAGGAATGCACATGAGTAAGTTAATCATCAGGAGGCGAGGCTGGATTGAAGAATATCGATTCAACACGAGTATTATAACGTGTGTTGTATCACTACTGCAGACGAAAGGCGCATACATGTACTCCAGAGCTTGACAAAAAATGTCCAATGAGACTGCGAGGCCAAGACAAGACTGGACGAGACGGAAGGACTTACATAAATTTTTTAAGATGAATACATAAAGGCTGACCCGAGAGTCCAGGCTCGCCTAACTCCCAGGACCAGACCCGTTGGAGTTGATTGCTGGCAGCTACGTTGAGCGGGCCGAGCCTGATTGAACTGATGGATAATTAGCGAAAAGTTATGATGAATGTGGGTAAAGGGGAAGTCAAAGATATGGGATTGTGGTGGGAGCTGAGATTTGTATGGATTTATCTACGAGAGTTTGGAGAAAAGAAATCAAGAAATTCTCAAAATCATTTTAGCTCCCGAGATGAACGTACAAATCAAGAAAGTCTTGGAAGCTTTTTCCGTGTACACAAGAGCGCAGTCTGTCCGGAAAGAAGGCTGAGGAAGCTATGTAGCTAGAATTGCCAAGACCTTTGCCGGGCTGGTTTTACAATCCCGACGGAAGAATGATATTTCAAGCTTGGGGAATCGGGAAGCTGGGCTGTCACCTGTGGTTTGAAAAAGGCCTGCCAAAAAAAAGGATATGAGAGATCAGCTTCCAACGAGATGGCTGTCGTTGCAGAGTTGCACACATAAAACAAGCCCAGACCTGGGCAGACCCCAGCTAAATATGTAAATCGCAGTCTCACACGAATCCGATAGTGTTGATTAATGAAAGCCAATCCCGAGAGCCGGCAACGTTGGCGTCATGACAATCGGAAGCGAAAGCTCTGGATGGATTCGCTATGTCTGTCGACGCCTCACGATCCCGTGTGCACTAGGACGATTGAGGATAAGACTTGGACTACATCTAGTTTTTTCACCAGTTTGACATCGAGACTTGTATACCAGGAATGGTCAAACGAACTGTAACCTGGGGATGTGATGACCCATCAATCATTGATACCACGGAGTCAAGAAAGAATATAGATACGCAACAGGTTACATACCAAACGAGAAAGCTTGGGACGAGCTCAGAAAGAGCACAAGTTGACTGGTGCAGCCAAAGAGAGGGTGTGTAGTGCAGGGCATACTAACAGGTGCAACTACTCAAACAGCCAACTGTCTATCTACCCTCTATCAAAAAGCAATGCTTCATCCATAGAGCTCCTAGTCATCTCAATTCTGATGGGATCAGTTCTGGCTTGGATAAGCGCTGGGAATCTACAAGTTGTACAGAAAGATGGATGTGAACTTGTAGGAAGAATCCACAGCAGGAAATCAGGGACTCAAAGATTAGCATCTATTAGCATTATATCTTCAAGCAGATAGGAGAACAAGGGGTAAAGGTAAAACTCTGGGATTTTTTTGATTTGGGGTTGAGTCTTGAGAACTTGTTGTCTTTTTCTTCACAAAATTTCACAGAACTATGTACAAAACTGAGGTAAGCTGAGCCTACTCATCCAAAAAAAAAGAAAAGAAAAAAAAGTTGCCACCACGCATGTAAACTGATAAAAGTTGGTTGTGGGCTCAGTTTGGCACATTTTTATTAATTGTGGGTTGAGTATGATCTGTTAAATTGCACATTTTCAGTTTCTAAGGAGACAATTTTGCAAAAAAACAGCTGAACAATTGGCAACCCAGAGTAAGAAATATTATTTTGGAAAATTCAATCTTCTTGTACCATCAGAATTCTCTTCTTCTGTTAACTCATTGCTCAAAGCTTATTATCATTTTCTATATTTGTCATTGAAGCATTCTAGTAGCATCTCTTGAGTAGCAAGATAGTGGAGGACTTCCCCTCGTCCAAATCTGTAAATTTAAGGACATCCTAAACGTTATTTGCTGGCGAAAATTGATCAAGATCAAGTTTTCACCAGCCAATAGAGTTTAGGACCCCCTTCCAGATCAAGCGATTTGGGCGACGGGAAGTCCTCCAGTGCCAGTTTCATCACACCCTGTAGTCATAGAACATTATCTGGCAGATATGAAACTTAGTTATTCTAGTCTCAAAAATGAGTAGTCCAGCTGATAGTATTCTTAGCATCTGTTTATTCAATATTGACCATTATTTATTTTCTCTTGAATGACTATTGAGCTGCTTGTATGTAGTCTATTTATACTAGCATCATGCAAGCAAAAGTGTAACAAATATGATATAGTCTTGCAAGCCCGCCTGGGCACAAACCAAAGTCCCACTTGGCTGAGTGCCACTGGGGGTTTGGTTTTTGCCAGAGAGCTTGATCATGCAGGTTGGTTGGGGGGGGACTTGGCACTTAGTCAAGTCTTGCTGGGCCAATTTCAAACTCTTGG